CTGTCTTCAAGAGGGAGTTTAAAACGGGCACCAAAGTAAATACCTGCCAGCCGGGGCTGTGGCTCGTACGTGGGTTTGCGTGAGGCCAACAGTAAGGCCGGGTTGAGAGGCCTTGTCCCCCATAAATCTGGTCAGGCCGGACTGCGGGGGCTTTTGACCCCGAAAAACCCAGGTTACAGGGATAGTGTTTATGCCGGATTATGAAAACTTGTCAAAATTTAAAGACCTCCATTTAAATTTTTGCCAAAAAATCTAAACTTAAGGAAATCAGGGGCGTGAGGCCCTACATCCCGGGAAGGGGTTTCCGGGGGGTCAACCCCCCCCGGGCCCCGGCGTGACCAGGCCTCGCGGGGGTGCAGGACGGTTTTATCCATGTCCTGAACTGGGTTTAATGAGGGATCTGCTATACAGAAAAAGGGTATTTTACGCCCCTTTTTAAATTAAAAACCCTTTGGGGTCAGGTTAAAGTGAGTTTAATAAAAAAACTTAGAATCTTACGAAAGGTAATTCCCTTAATAGAAGATAAGATTTTTTCCTGTGTGTTAGTTACCTCCCCTTTTTCTCTCTCTCCTCTCTCTCTTCCTTCCCTCTCTCTCTTCTCTTTTCTCTCTCTCTCCCCCCCTTCCTCTCTCTCTCTCCCCTCCTCAAAACACACTGAGATTTCTCAGAGCAGTCTTCAATTTCTAATTAAATGTTTTTTTTTTTTTTTGAAAAAGTTTGTGTATGTTTTTTTTTGGGAATAAAAATATTCAAAAAATTCTGATGCTTTTTATTTGTATTTTTTAAAAATATATTTTTTTTTTGTTGTTTGGGATTAAATGAAGTACATGTTTAAACTCGCGTTTGAAAGATGCATTGTGCACTTTTATGAGGGATGCCTTGTACACGTTCATGAAGGATGCATTGTAGCACGTTCTGAAGGATGATTTTAGCAGTTTTGAGGGATGCATTGTAGCACGTTCATGAGGATGCATTGTAGCACGTTCATGAGGGATGCATTGTAGCACGTTCATGAGGATGCATTGTAGCACGTTCATGAGGATGCATTGTAGCACGTTCTGAGGGTCATTGTAGACGTTTATGAGGATTTTCATTGTGCCTTTTATGAGGTGCATTGTAGCACGTTCATGGGGTGCTTTTTAGGGGACGTTCATGAGGATGCATTGTAGACATTCATGAGGGATGCATTGTAGCCTTAGAAGGGGATTGTAGCCGTTCATGAGGTTCATTGAGCAGTTCATGAGGGTGCATTGTAGCAATTTATGAGGAGCATTGTAGCACGTTCATGAGGATGCATTGTAGCACGTTATGAGGATGCATTGTAGCAGTTCTTAGATGCATTGTTCCGTTCATGAGGGGTGCTTGTACACTTCAGGGGATCATTGTGCACGTTCATGGGGATGCATTTAGCACGTTTTTGGGGGGCATTGTGCCGTTCATGAGGGGCATTGTAGCACGTTTTGAGGGTGCATTGTACACGTTCATGAGGGTCATTTAGCACGTTCATGAGGATGCATTGTAGCCGTTCTGAGGATGCATTGTACAGTTCAGGGATGCTTGTAGCACGTTTTTGAGGATGCATTTTAGCCGTTTTATGAGGATCTTGAAACAGTTCGAGGGGTCATTGTACCGTTCATGAGGAGCATTGGCACTTCATGAGGATGCATTGAGCACGTTCATGAGGAGCTTGAGCACGTTATGAGGATGCATTGTAGCACGTTCATGAGGATGCATTGTAGCACGTTCATGAGGATGCATTGTAGCACGTTCATGAGGATGCATTGTAGCACGTTCATGAGGATGCATTGTAGCACGTTCATGAGGATGCATTTTAGCCGTTCATGGGATATTGTAGCACGTTCATGGGGGGTGCATTGTAGCCGTTTATGAGGATGCAAATTTTACACGTTCATGAGGATGATTTAGCACGTTCATGAGGATGCATTTTAGCACGTTTATGAGGTGCATTGTAGACGTTCTGATGCATTGTAGCACGTTATGGGATGCATTGTACCGTTCATGAGGGGTGCTTGTAGCACGTTTATGAGGATGCATTTTAAAAGTTCATGGGAAAGCATTGTACACGTTCATGAGGGGCATTGTAGGCGTTCATGAGGGGTGGGATTTACCCCGTTTATGAGGAAGCATTGTACCGTTCATGAGATGCATTGTAGCCGTTCATGAGGATGCATTTTAGCACTTTGAGGGTGCATTTAGCACGTTCATGGGGATGCATTGTAGCACGTTCATGAGGTGCATTGTAGCACGTTTATGAGGATGCATTGTAGCCCTTAGGGATGATTGTAGCACTTCATGAGGAGATTTAGCACGTTTAAGGGGGATGCATTGTAGATGTTCATGAGGTGCTTGTAGCCCCTTCTGAGGATGCATTGTAGCACGTTCATGAGGGCATTGAGCCGTTCATGAGGGATGCATTGTGCATGTTCATGAGGATCATTGTAGCCGTCTGAGGATGCTTTTAGGGCCTTTTTTTTAGGATGCATTGTGCCCTTCATGAGGATGCATTGAGCACGTTTTATGAGGATATTGTACACTTCATGGGGGTTGCATTGTAGAACTTTCATGAAAGATCCCCATTGTTTACGTTCTTAAAGGGAAATGCCATTGTAGCCGTTAAAGAGGGATGCTTTTGATAAAGTTTCATGAAAGATGCATTTGGCACTTTCTTAAAGATCCCTTGTACCCACGTTCTGGGGTTTTTCCCCACTGTAGTCGTTCATGAAGGGATTAATTGAAAACACGTTCATGAGGAAAATTGAAAACACGTTCTTGAGGATCATTGTAACACGTTCAGGAAGGATCGTTGTAACACGTTTTTTGAAGGTAAATTGTAACACTTCATAAAGGGATATTGAAAACACGTTCATGAAGGAATTTTTAACCCACGTTCATAAAGGGAAATAAATTGTAACACGTTCATGGGTTTCATTGAAAAACCCCGTTCATGGGGTTTCATTGTAACACGTTTCATAAGGATATTGTAAACACCCCTCATGGGTCATTGTAAACAGGGTTTCTTTGAAGGATCTTTGGGAACACGTTTCTTTAAAGGGATCATTGTAACCGTTCTTTAAAAGGATCATTGAAAACACGTTCATGAGGATCATTGTAAAAAGTTCATGAAGGATCTTTTTAACACGTTCATAAAGGGATCTTTGTAACACGTTCTTGAAGGATCATTGCTAACACGTTCATGAAGGTTTTTCCATTGAAATTTCGTTCATGAAGGATCTTGAAAACCCCCTTCATAAAGGGAAACCATTGTAAAAAGTTCATGAGGTCATTGTAACACGTTCATGGGACATTTGAAACCCACTTCATGAAGGATCATTGTAAAACGTTCATGAGGTTCATTGTAACCGTTCCCTGAAGGATAATTGTAGCAGTTCATGAGGGTTCATTGTTAACACTTTTAAATAAAGGGTTTCTTTGAAAAACCGTTCATGAGGATCATTGTAACCCCTTCATGAAGGACTTTGTTAACACGTTCATGAGGTTCTTTTGTAACACTTTCTTTAAAAGGATCATTTTTAAAAACGTTCATGAAGGTATTGTAACACGTTCATGAAGATTCATTTTTAACACTTTTCTTAAAGGGATCTTTGTAACACCTTCAGGTTTTCTTTTGTAAAAAGGGTTCATAAAGGATCATTGTAACACGTTCATAAAGGATCATTGTAACCGTTAAAGAGGATAAATTGAAACCCCACTTTCCCATGGGATCATTGAACACGTTCTGGGATCATTTTTCCCGTTCATGAGGAAATCATTTTTAACACGTTCATGAAGGTTTCTTTGGTAACACGTTCATGAAGGATCTTTGTAAAAACGTTCATGGGATCTTTGGGAAACACGTTCTGAGGATCATGGCTAACCCTTTTCCCCCCATTTAAAAAAAATTTTCAAAAATTTCAACAGTTCTGAAGGATCATTGTAACAGGGTTGAGGATCATTGTAGCACGTTCATGAGGATAATTTGAAAACCCTTTCATGAAGGATCATTGTAACCGTTCATGAAGGATCATTGTAAACAGTTCAGGGATGGTTTTGGTAACCGTTCATGGAAATCATTGTAACCCCGTTATGAAGGATCTTTGAAACCCAACGTTCATGGGGATCTTTGAAACCGTTCAGGGGGGGAAATAATTGTTAACACGTTTCAGGGAAGGATAATTGTAACACTTTAAATGAGGACCCTTTGAAACCCACTTTTCATAAAGGGTTTTTTAAAAACAGGGTTCCCTGAAAGGACCCATTGTAACACGTTCTTGAGGATCTTTTGTAAACAGTTAAAGGGGATCATTTTTGCCGTTCAGGGAAGGATCATTGACCCACGTTCATGAAGGATCATTGTAGAAGTTTTCGAAAATTTTTTTCCACTAAAAATTAAAAGGGAAAGTACCATCTATGGCTGGACGGGGGGGCCCCTCACCCTCAGGGGAAGAAAAAAATAAACGTCCCTCAGGGGGAAAACTCAAGGTTCCCCCGGAGCTGTTTGAATATTTTCTTTTCCTACCCCCCCTTTTGTTTATTATTTTATGTGAACATTTATTAATAAAAAAAATTCATTTACAGAAAAAAACAAAAACATGAAAAACAAGGGCCACAATGTTCAAAGTTGAGGGAATTTCCCCCACCCTCCTCCGGGGCCCCGGGGACGTGAGCCAAGTATGCAGCAACCCATATATTAAAAATTTTTGGGGTAATTAATATATATTCAAAGAGGGAAATATATAAGAGCCCTTTAAAAACACTGATTTACGGGAAAAAAAAAACACATAATATTATTATCGGGTTTTTTAAAAAATTTTAAAACCAGGGTTTATCGGGGGGAAAATTAAAAACACAAAGGGGGGAAAATTTACCGGGAAAAGTCCCCGAGCCAATCTGCGTTATTCTCAGGGCCCTTGTTACACAAAAAGTCCCCGGGGAAAGCCTTGCAGAAGAAAACTGCTGACCCCCAATTTTGGAAATTTCAT